CACGGCGTTGCAGCCTCATTACATCAGTGTCCAGTAAATGATGTCAGGTGCTGGTATGCTCACGGCGCCTCACCTTGGCTTGAGGGCGGTGGACAGTGACTGCTATAGTGAGGCCTGACCAGTCCAGCTCCTCATCATAGCGGGATTAGCAGGTCAAAGATGAGGCCCGAGGGACAAACTTTGGAGGGTTTTTTGGGACGTGGACCTGATTATCTCATCACTGTTCTCGCACAAGGCTAACAGGCCAGTACTTCACAGAGCAGGCCTTGGAACGGGATTCGCCGAAGAATTTAAAACACACAACTGTTTAGGAGAGGTTTTTGCCCACACTTTTTTTTAGCCTTGGGAGCTACCATTGAAATGACCAGGCTAAAGTGGCTAGGCTAACATGATCTAGCTACAGTCAATACATTATAAATATATATCTACTCACTGAACTGAACATACTTTATAGCAGTACTCAAATGGTGGGGCGGGCCCCCCGGGGGAGGCCACGGTGGGGTGCCAGGGGGGCCCCGCATGAAAACATTTCTGTCCCCAAGGGGGGGGGGAGCATGACAGAAATGAAATTGAGAACGACTGCTTTATATAAACATATATTGGGGTAGTGAGTAAATACATGCAGCTGTATGGATTGTATATTAAGAATTATATTTACATTTTTTTTTTTTTTTTTTCGATTTTACCTGCACTGCCTTTACGATCCACCGGTAGATTGTGATCCACTTATTGGACACCCCCGGCTTAAGACATTCTTCAAGACAAGTCGTGAGATATAAAATCTGAGACACAACCAAGGTCACAAACCAGGAGACGCAGAACATGATCCAATACATGACCACAGAGTTGTTCCAACACATGGTAGTTTGGAAGGAATCTGTGAACGGCAACAGCGGCAAGAAAGAAAAAAAAACGAAAAGAAGAAGAAAAACACAACGCAAGACAAAACATATAAGGCTCACCATAATGACTTTCTAGTGTTCTGAATGGAAGCATAAACATGTGCGGGCATGTTTACGTGTGTGTGTGTATCTGTCCTTTGTAGATGGAGAATTCGGGAAGAACAGAGACCTCAAGACTCAGACTCAGTCTGGTCCGGGAGCCAGGAGTCTCGCAGAAACCAGTCCCGAGGTTATAATTTACAGCTGGTGTAGAATAACTCTGAGCAGGTATCGCGACTTCTGCCAAAGACAACCCAGGACTGTGTGATGAGCAGAACAGCTCTGGTTCTGGACTTCACACAGCTTCGAGAGCGCTACTGAGAACCTCCGGTACAGGACCAAATCAAAGGGTGGCTGCCGTTCTCAGGTGACAGAGCGGGACTCAGACCGAAGAGTTAACGATTTAAACACTCAAACGAACGCACGCACACACACAGAGAGACATGGTCGCGACTGAGCTCCGGGTCTGGAGACCCTGAAGATAAAATAAGAGGGAAAAGAAAACATTTATGATATGTTGACTTTGACTTGAATTTTGAACTGAGTTTAGGGTTGTTGTTTTTTTTTTCTTCCTGAATTGTGATTGGTTCTTTTAGCATTATTGTGAAACAAGAAATTAGAAATCATTTATGATTAT